TGTGTGGCTGTGTTTGAGAGAGAGAGAGAGATGTGTGTGTGTGTGTGTGTGTGTGTGTGTGTGTGTGTGTGTGTGTGTGTGTGTGTGTGTGTGTGTGTGTGTGTGTGTGTGTGTGTGTGTGTGTGTGTGTCATCGCAGACAGATAACCACAGAGGAGGGAGAGCAGAGAGCGAAAGAGATGAATGTTCTGTTTATTGAAACAAGTGCAAAGACAGGCTACAATGCCAAGCAGGTAGAGCGTGTGCACCTTCTCGTGTGTGTGTGGGCTCATAGCGCTCATTCTCTCTTCTGGTTGGCTTCTGTTTCACACACCCATTGCGTACATTAAGGTGTGCTTTAAATGTCGGCTTGCTCTGGTTGGAAGTGAGGTGTGTGGATTTGTTTTTGAAGCTCTCTCCCACCGGAAAGAAGTCATTATCTTTGATTGGCAAACCTTTGATCAGGCAGGTGGGTCGGGGTCTGCAAACCAAAACGCTCATTAGCACATTAGCAGTATTTTAATTGCATGTGTATGAAGTGTAGTTCTATGTGATGTTCTTTAGTGCGGGGGTTTAAAACTCATAAATCACTTTAAATGCACGGTGCTCCATCAATGAATGTTAAAGTAAGGTGTCAATCCACAGAAATATAGCCTTGCCGTTTGCTGCTGAATTAAAAATCTAATTTGGTGAAAGCTCTGGTGGCCGTCTTCCTCTGTGCGAGCTTCAAGCTAAATCATGTAATGGGAATGCGCTATCTTTCCTTCATCTTCTGCGTTTGTCCTGATGTGCGTCTACTTCCTGCTCTGACAGAACACATCTGGTTGTCTCTCCCTGCAGCTCTTCCGTCGCGTGGCAGCCGCCCTCCCCGGCATGGACACCACACAGGACAAGAGCCGAGAGGAGAGTATCCTTTGTGTGCGTGTCAGTGTCAGAGGGTCTCTAATGTTGTGTCATATGGATAGCCCCTGCCAGAGGGAGAATGTAGCGCAGCACTGTGACAGACAGATGTTGTTTAACCTTTGTGTCTCTTTTTGATGTATTTGACCAGTGAGGACACGTATTGTGCTCCAACAGAGAGAAATACTCACCACCTCTAGGCTGCAGTTAGGACTGAACCGCATCGTTTGCTCAGAATCCTTTATAACATTGACTTCCGTTTATTCAATCTTCTTACCTGGTATCCCTGCACGTTTACAGATACAGTCTAATATTAGTTGTCGATTTTGATTCTGGTACTGACTTCGTAGTATTGTTTCTTACTCGTGCGTTACAAACATTTCCAATAACTCGAGCATTGTGAAGTCCAACGGTCAATATTTTTTTAAGATACCGATGTGATCATTTCCAAAGTTTACCCCAGGTTTTTAGGAAATAATCAGCTTTTCCATGAATTCTAAAAGTTATAATTATAAAGAAAATTGGTTCGTCTAGAAAATAATAGGTATAGAGGCTTTCAATTTAAAAAAAGTTAAACTACCTTAATTATAGCCCTAACTCCCTGTGGGGTTAAATGTCACATGAGAAGAACATCAAACATGATTTATTTTCTCTAGAATCGAATCTGATTTGAAATGCAGTGTGGAATCTTCCCTAAAACTGATCTCGCACAGTGGCTGTTTGGTTTGTATGGAAAAAAATATTTATCTTATTCAAGCCTGGCATGTCCTGCAGTAGAAAACAAATGATATAACATTTTTATATATAACACATTTTTAACAATAACTTAAGCATGGACAGCAGTTGTGGAGTTTAGTTTGTTCGTGAACATTTTCCAGTTGTTTTATTCCAGTTCTGTGACGTTCCCTAACTCCTAAACCCTTCAGTGATTGACATTAAATTAAAGGAGCAACCGGAGCTACCGGCCAGCGAAGGAGGCTGTTCCTGCTAATGCCGGCTTATGTCATGATGACATAAAGCTAAATATTTCTCTTACCTGCTTTTTTTTCAACCATTTGTGTGTCTGTACCCGAAACTGAACCGCCTGCTCCCCAGCCTAAGAGAGAACACTACAGCCGTTACTCCTCCGCTCTCTGGAAAGCTGCTTTTGGATGTGGATGCTCTGAAAGTCATACATCTCTTAAATGGAATATTTGCTCTGTAACACACATGTTGAAACTGTATCCACAGCTGTTGCCTGTCATTTCAAACAGACCGAGATGGGGGGCTTAAGAGTAATGAGTGTCGAAAGATGACCCTTTGAACCAAACTGAAAGAAGGAACACGTGTGTTTATGCATTAAAGTATCTGATCAAGATTGAGAATATTGTTCAACATTTGTAAATATTGCTTTAAGTTTAATAAGCACAACAGTAACACTGTTCTTTTTGTTGTTTAAATGTCTGGACACGGTCACACACCAGCACAAACACACTAACTAAAAGAGCAACACTATAACTACGTCATCCCCATTACCGTCCTTCCTCTCTTCCCGCACTTTTCCCTTGAGATTGGTTATTTTTACCTTGGCTTCTATTTTCTATTACCTTTTTATTTGAATAGATCTCTAATTATTTTTTCTAAAGACTACAGCTATCATAGATTAAAACTACTGCTTTAAAGATAGTGCTTGAGAAGTGTTTTCTCATATATTATAAGAGTCATAATCATGAAAACCCACTGTAAACATTTAGATATATATGCCTTTTGGAGTTTAATTGTAGAGGGCTTCCTTGGTTTTGGGTTGAACTAGTTTGGTATGAGGTTTTATGAACACTTTAAATACTTGTTTTTTTGTTTTTATTCTGTTGGCATTGATCTTTTGTTAGTGATTATTCTACATGTGTATTTAATCCACAATGACTTTATTTATTTGTATTGGATTCATGTTTCTTTTTTTTATGGCTGTTAATATCTACACTTCTGGTGAATCACTAATGAATTATGCATCCGTCTGAAACACCTTTAACTGAATCAGCAGAGAGCTAGATGGCAATTTGATCTTACTGATAATACAGTGCAATTTTTGTGTGGACTTATGGAGGAGAGTCTGGTATGTATAGCAAAGTAGTCCTTAATGTTTGTGTCTGGAATGATTTGAAATGAAAGAATAAAAAATACACTTGTCAATGTGGCTGGAATTCTTCAATGTCCAAGCTTTAATATTTTCCTTGAACCATTTGTTACACTTGAATTAGGCATTAAGCTGGTAATTAAAATAGTAATAATAAAATAATGTTCTCCCTACTCGAATGCCCCACACATAATACAAATATTTACAGGAAAAGAAAACAATTGCACAAAGACAAAACGAACACAATATGCATTTTTATAGTACCTTTATTATACAACAGATAACGTGCCTATGGCGGTTTTGTGCCATGAAATAATTGTGGCTGTGATAATTGTTTGAACCTGATCTGACAGCTCTAATCTAAATTACAAATCAAAGATAAAAGAGTATTGTTGATCTGCAGATCAGTTATTAAGTCTGTTATTAAGAGCAAGGCCTGAACAGTGTTGCTCCCTCATGAGAACTGAAGGCCTGACAGTAATAAGCTGTCCTGCAGGAGCAGAATGCTGGACCTGGACTAATGGGCACTAATAGGCTTATTTCACAGGAGACATTTTGACCTGGCAGGAAAAGCCCATGTGGAGCAAATGGCTACGACTCCAAAGTATGCCATGCCACTGAGCCAGCATTATCAACAACATATTAACTTAATAACTGCTCCATCAAATACAATGCTGCTGTTTTTCATGCCTAAATGTGTGGTTTGACAAACCTAATCATAGGGAGGCTATTTCATTTAGGGATGTATGAGGCCCCAATTTTAGTTTCACATAATCTGATAAATTAACAATTAGAATTAGGAAAATTAAACTTAAATATGAAGTAGAATTTTGCCTCAATGTCTTGTGGCCCTGTGTTTTGGAGGGATCCTGTGTCAAAGTGGTAGTTGTAAGGCTGACATTTTCCAGAATACAATTATTTTTACTGTCTGTAATGGGGTGAATTATACCCCTACGAAACCCAAAATTATATTAATCCGGATCATTGGTCATCACAAAACAAATAAAAGGAAATAAATCAAATGTATTTGTATAGCGGTTTTAATAGCTTAAGCTTACAGGCAACTGAGACGCTGAAAATAATAACTATAGGCTACTTCTGTTTTACAACATCCTACGAAAAGACACCAAATTAGAATTTTATGATGCTTTTTCTTACATGAACACATTCAAATGTTTTCAGTTTCTCAGATTGAACAACGTGTACAGCGGATCCTTGTTCGTGATTGGCTGAGCCGTTTTTGCAAGTCACGCGAGAGTTTAGCGGGAATCTGTTACCCTGGAAACCAAGTGAAACAACCGCTGCACTGAGCATTTATTATATCAAACCTTTGTTTTTTAACACCAACGCAGCATATTGAGCTGTCCTTTGATTATTTTATACTTAATTTAAAGTATTGAATTCCATAATGGGTAGCGAATACTACGAGACTCTGGAAATAAACAGAAATGCAACAGATGCAGATATAAAGAAGGCGTACGTTTTTGTTTCCGGAAGTTGCTTTACAGACGTTAACAATTGAAGTTGTATGTGTTTATTGTCAACGTTTTGCTTTTTTTATTACTAGATTTCGAGGGCAGGCATTGAAGTTTCATCCAAGCAGAAACAGAGAAAAAGGAAGCAGTGAGACGTTCCTTCAGCTGGGTGAAGCCTACGATGTGCTGAGCGACCGTAAGTAAAGTTGAAATTTAAACCAACACATTTATGGTATGTTGGCAGTGTTGGGAAAGTTCACTTTCTACATGAACTAGTTCAGTTCACAGTTCACACATTTTAAAATGAACTAGTTCAGTTCATAGTTCATAATTCAAAATGTTGAACTAAAGTTCATGGTTTCAACAATGAACTAATTTATAGTTTATAGTTCTTTTTTCAATACGTTGCTGCGAGCTATTATTTGTCAAAATGATTGCCACAACCCATACCACAGACAGCAATCAGAATACTGGCATTTCCATAACGCTTTGCTGCCGCCCATTCAGTCCACACTAGTAGCAGCTGCAGCTTTCATCTCTACAGTATATTTAAATAACATGAGGAAAACTGCTTTGAATGGTCTTTTTATTAGTATAAAATCTAAAATATTTTTATTCGCCACTCGCACATACCTTGAAAGGCTAGTCGTATGCTTATTCTCAATGTGCCGTTTAAGGTTTGCTGTCGACGTCGTCGATGTAAGGACTTGCTTTTTCAAACCGGGCGGACACAGTTTACAGGCAAACGTTAGATTTTTTCCGTCTGAGTCAGTACTGACTTTAACGTAAAACTCTTTTAAATGCTCATACGCCGACGCCATAGAGTCTGACTCTGAGCGAGTGCTGCTGCAGCTGCTCTCGGCTTCGTCCATACTAACATTCATTCATTCATTCAATGCTCGCCGCTTCCGCGGTTCCACATTGTTTGTTGTGAGGAGTCTGATGACGTATATTTTAGTGCGACAGCCAGGGGTGACAGGCGCGTACGCGTCACTGGCAGCTTGCTGTTGAAGCCTGTTTACGGTGTGTTTTATCTGGGTTTTCGGCTGAAAGGCATATGAAATCTGGCACACTTTTGAACGCCGTTATAATACAGTGCTGAGAATGAACGCACTTTTGAACGCCGTTATACAGCGCCGAGAATGAACGCGTTCTCAATTACGTTCATCTAGCGGAAATACAGTACGTTCAGTTCACGTTCGCCCAAAATATGAACGCGTTCATGAACGATCGTTCATTGAACGCGTTCAGGTACATCACTGTATGTTGGTTACACTACAGACTGAGACTACACTAAAAATTAAGAAAAAAAAGATGAATATATCTGGTGTATAATATTCAATCTTTACTTTTAGGCTATATAGTGTGGTGCTAACAATGTCACTTCACACTTTAATATTCCTACTGTGGTTATACTTCAACACTTATTGTCAAGAAATACCAATTTGAATCATTTTGGAGATTTTTTATTTTGAAAATATTCAATGGCTTCACTTTTGTAATACTACACAAATCCCTATAATGAAGTGCTTTTGAAAACCTTTTATAAAGTTACCATATTTTAACCAATATGTGCTGCAGTGTGTGTCTATGAAAATAAAGATGTTGTCTGTGATAGCTCGGAAAAAGGCAACCTATGACAAGTTTGGTGTGGAGGGTCTCAAAGGGGGCATCCCACCTGAGTTTGGCTGCAGCGGGGCTTGGTCATCTAAATATGCCTACCATGGGAACCCAGGCAAAACCTTCAAGGAGTTTTTTGGAGGCGACAACCCATTTGCAGGTGAGGAAAATCGGACCATATGGTGAATGTTCTTATTCAAATATCATACCAATTACATTACACTTCTTTCGTTAGACTTCTTTACAAACGACGAACCACTTCAGTTTGGCGGCCTGCGATCAGTAGTGGTGAAGACACAAGACTCTCACATCGAGAGAGACATGCATCTGTCCCTGGATGACCTCTACCACGGCTGCACAAAAAAGATAAAGATATCTCGCAGGGTAAGAGCTTCTGTGACTGAGAGACTATCTATTGTCATTCCACAGCTATTTCAAATATAAATGAATTTTCTATTCATTTGTTTAACAGGTTATGAATGAAGATGGATGCACTTCCAGTATCAAAGACAAGATCCTGACTATTGATGTGAGGCCTGGATGGAAAGAAGGCATGAGGATAATTTTTGCTAAAGAAGGAGATCAGGTAATATAACAATACACGCATTGACACGAATACAGTTGTAATGATGGTCACTGAAAAGCCATTCAGTATGTCTTTTCCTTATTTAAATGTTTTTTCACAATATGTGTTTCGATCATGTGTTTGCTTGTGACACTGTCAACGCTGATTTACGAGGTATTGCAACTTCATTACATAGCTTTTAGTGTGCGGCAAGCTTTAGAGGAAAGCCCTGCAAGTGACCACTGCACCAACATGTATCATTTTGTATGAAAAGTAAATAACGTGTACGCAAATCTGAGAAAAAGGGTTTCGTTTGGGGAGGGGGTTTCATCAGGGTCTCACACATTTTTGCAGTAACCTTATTTGTGCCACTTAGTAAAACTGTGTATTTGAACAATATGATAAGAATAAAGAATAGTGAGATAAGTAACTGTGTAAATGTGTTTGTAACTGATTGGGATATATAGATCAAACATTAAAGCATTATTTGTTTGCTTTGTAGTGAATGTATTCTTCTAGAAAGTTTGGATGCTTATTGACATTATGTTTGATGAATATGTGTTTAAGATGATACTGATGAATGGAAACTTGCTCAAGCTGTTGACCACAGAATGCGTGACTGACAGCTTTGAATCATGGGAAGTTAACAGTGGCAGTTATGGTTAAATATGAATGGGCAAGATTTAGAGTGCATAATAACTCAGTTGTAGGGTTATGATATCCACTAGATCTGTTTCTTTGCTGCCAGTAGGTGGCGTCATTGATCTCTTTGTGTATATGAATAAAAGCCACATAATACAGGGACTCATTCTTGCTCTTACTCTGCCTTACCTTTTATGTTTAGCTATATATAATTTCATTACATTTGGTCAAAATAGATTATGTGTAAAAAACTTTTGTGTAACAGATAGTAACTGTATTTTAGGGAAAGAGCCTGATATGCATGGTAATCAGTTTGCTGTATTGTACCCTTAGGGACCAAACAGCATCCCTGCTGATATCGTGTTCATAGTGCAACAGAAGAGCCATCTTCTGTTTGTGAGACAAGACAATGACCTCATCTACAAGGCCCAGATCACCCTGGAGATGGTGAGTCATGTAAATAATCATTTTCAGCATGAGTCATACTTAAGATTAAGTCAAATAAACACTGGACCTTTTCCCACAGGCCTTAACTGGGTTCTCTGTGGATGTGGAGACTCTAGACAACAGGCTAATTACTATTCCCATCAATGACATTGTACAGTAAGTAGCACTAAATAACATTCATCAGTCTGTATTTTGTTATCATATTGATGAATGAAAACAGGGAAGATGATTGTAAGAAATTCAAGCACTTTATATAAACTCAAACAGAGAGGTTTTTGAAGGATATGTTTCTGGTTTGTGCGTCATGTGCATAAATAACCATCTTCCTTTCTCTGATTTTATTTCATACACATCAGCCCTTCGTACAACAAAGTGGTGAGTGGAGAGGGAATGCCTCGGTCCCAGGATCCTTCTCAGAGAGGGAACCTCATCATTACTTTTGAAATCCAATTTCCTGAGAAGCTCTCCGCCGAGAGGAAGCACCTGATCAGACAAGCTCTAACTTTAAAAGACTGATCCTATTCTAGTACATGTGTTGCTATGCTGTGTCTGATAAAAGTAGTCATGAGAGAGAGAAGTATTAAGTATAAGTATCATCATTTGTACAACACTTCAGGTTGAAATATGCACTTGGAGGCAACAAAAAGTAAAAAAATGTGTAGACAACACAGCTGTGCTACAACATCTGACAGACAATAGCGGTTACACTCGAGTGGTGTAGTTGTGATTCGCTGCCATCATGGCTCGCTTCAGCTGCTCGTACGTCACAAACATCACCACGTTCCAGGAGCCAAGGCGTAAGAAAGATGGCATGAACCTCAAGAGAAAAAAGAAAAACAACATTATTGATTGCAATAAGAATAGCTGTTCAGTTAACAACCACCTCTTTACTCCTTCCTTCATAAATGCTTGATTTAGATCCTCATTAATCCTCTCAATATTGACCTCGCAGTCAGAGCATACCCCTTATAAAAAGCACCTGGTCCCTCTTTGCTCATCATGGCAGCAGCACACTTGAGGACGCTGTTGTAGTGGCCGGGTGGAGAGTTCATATATCTTGTTTTGACCACATCAACTGGAGAGGCAATCACTGTTGTGCACAGTCCTGCTCCGAAGGCCGATACAAAGTGGCAGGGCAGATTATCTGAGGAGGAGAAGAGAAGACTGAACGTTACCTCTCCATACAGAAGAACAATGGGGCATTATGTTGCACGTCAGGATGTACTGCAGTCTTTGTTTAACCTGTGAGTGGAGTGGACTTAAGGAGTGTGTCCTTTATGTAATCGTACGTCACCAGTTCAGTGCAGTTCACAATTGCATTTCGAGCGATGTTTGGAGCTGTACCTGTGTGAGAATAGAAAATATTTATCGTCAGAGACAAAAGGTCATGGTTTAAAAGGATCCTTTTAAAGGCACAACGCTAATAGGGATCTCATGATTTAAAAGAAAAAGGTGTCAGTGAAGTAGTGTGGGATCATTGATAGCTGTTTTACAAATTGACTTCATTGCAGTCAGTTTCTGTATGTTAGAATTCTTTCATTGTTCATTGTCAAGGAGTTTTTTTAGCAGGAGACACATTTACCTTAGAGGTTTCCTTAGCTCCAAAACAAAAGGACCCGATGACTCTGAATACAAGAGTCTCACCTTAAAAATCACTGTTTCCTCCACTAAGCTCATCAGATTTAGGAGGTTCTGCGACCCAACCGTTAACCTTCGCTCAGGTTGTTTTTCTGATAACTAACTCAAATCCTTCAAAATAGTAGAAATGATCAGGATTTTTTTTTAAAGCACCTTCAAATTCAGGCTTTAAACCGAAAAAAAGTCAAAATACAACAGATGCTGGCAGAGGTGGAGTAGTAGCCAATGCAGAGAATGAGAATGAAGCGCGCTGTTACTTATACTAAATATTTAAAAATAATAATTCAAGGTAATAAAAGAAAACATCTAAAAAAAAAAATAGGTAACGCAAGTCTAGTCCTTTTTGTACAATTCGATGCAGATTTCTTACATCTTTTATCGGTAAATTCAATTTACTGTACCTTTCCACAGACCACGAATGCCTTCTTCCTTAGCAATGGTCTTGTAAGCATCAATGGTGCCACAGTAGCGCCTGGCCTGCCCAGCAGACCTGGCCTGAGCCTGGAAGCGAACCTTCACCACATCTGTAGGCTGAGCTAAAGCAACCGCCATGGCACCAGTGGTACATCCTGCCAGCAGCCGACTGCCGATACCCACATCTGGAGCAGAGGGGAGATAGGGGTCAGGCCTGATTGTTGCAGGAATGTAGATAAATATGTTCCTAGATACTCACGATCAGAGCCTTTAGTGTAGAACTGTTTAACAGAGTCGTAGAGACCAATGCGGACAGAGGCGAAGCTCATCTGCCTCTGGAGTCCTGCCACCAGTCCACTGTAAAGGCTCCGGGGCCCCTCTGTACGCACCATGGTGGTGATGGTGCCAAACACCCCCCGATACCTCACTGCAGACTCCTTCCCTGCTGAGGCCTCCCCTTGTATCTGTGAGGGATAAACAGTACTGAGAGGTGAGATTAAGAAGAAACAATAAGGGACTTTTATACAATATTTGTAAACTCACACGCATTATGAGAATTTCACGTGTTGATGGGAATAAAAGAAGCTTACCTGCAGCCGCACTTTGGCTGTGTCCAGGGGGAAGGTGAGCAGGTCAGCGAAGCATCCTGCAGTTCCTGCTCCCACAAACTTCACAGCTGCTGATGGAGGCACATCTGCGGGTCCAAATCCAACCATTTTCCAGAATGATTGCAATCAATTTGAAGAGGGACCTACTGTATTAATGCTGATAGGACAAGAAGAAGAGAAACACATTCCATTCAAATGATTATTTAGTGAAAGAATGCCCTCAGCCGCCTTGTTACAGCTCCATTAAGCAAACTAGCTAAAGTTGAGCAGTTGTTGATGTTAAAGGAAAGAAAGCTGTTCAGTACATTATGTGCAGACAACATGCTGACCTCACATGAGCTAAAAATATAGTACACCTAATTTTCCACTCTGAATTTGGATGTCTCTTACCTTTAATGGAGCTGTTTGGACATTAGAGATCAGGATTCTCTAAAGGTGTCTCTCTGGCTGAACGTTGTCCCAGCTTTAAATAGGTTTCCTTGTTTTTCCATAGAAGGTTTTTCAGAAGTGTTGAGCCTTAAAATCATACTCCAAATCCTGGAGTGAACACAAATGAGGTAAAATAGAAAACAAAAGCAGGGGGAACAGTATTAAGAACAACATATTTGGTCAGGAAATATATTTTACCTTGATTTGAATTGAGAAAGTTGGAATCCCTGGTGAAATCCCTGGTGAAATGCCTCTCCAAGTGACAATAGCAAAATGAAACCGTGAAACAAGCAGTAGTGTGCACACAAGAGCCGCCCCCTTAAATACTGCCTTGTTCCTGTTACATCATGGCATGTGTTTTCCCCAAGGCCCCACCCCCAGCACATATACTGTATTGGAGCTGCCTGCTGGTCAAATGAATGGAGGACTATTAATCTGCCTGAGTGACAAACAGCCTGAGGGTTTTTTTGTCTTAAAGCATATATGTTAATACCTATTTTTCTTTATTTCTCCCATTTCGTGTCCACATACTATCAACAACACAACAATAATAAAAAAAGCAAAGTTGGAATTGATTGGACGACCTCAATATGTTGAGAATATTTTTGCCAAAATAAAATGTTGCATTGGAAAATTGATAGACCTACTGGAACTTAATAAGATAAGTCAGTTATCTGTGTGAAGGCCAGCACATCACATTATAGTACAGAGAGCACAGAGAAAGGGTAAAAGCTGAGTCATGCTGAAAACACAAGAACACACAGAACAACAAATTTGATCCTTATGTTGAGACCATTTAACATCCAACCACAGCTTCTTCTGTTTAAAACGTGATCCGTGACCAGTGGTTCCTGCAATGATTGACGATTGAAAACGACTTCTAATCCTGTACACTGTACAGTGATCAAAATACAGTATTATGTTTATCGAAATGTCTTTATTAATCCACATCTAAACAGGGCTCTGTAAAGCAGGACCACACTCTGTTATTAGTTAAAAGGTAGTTGACATTTTAAAAGAAAATTGTCATAATAAATGGACTGCAAATGGAAATGCTATGAATGTTTTTCCATTGATAAGAAACACAAGATAGGAAATTACTGAAAATAAACATTTTTAGGCTAAGCGTCTACCATTTTATCTGACAATATGTTAATTTATTACATTAGAGATATCTTTGATTGCAGGCCAATAGTGCAAAATACTGGGTCTATGTATTTCTTAATGTATTTTAGCCATTCAAAGTACCATCGACATTTCTTACATGCTAAATGCTACATTTAAAAAATAATTATTCGTATGTTCATTCACAATTTTCAGGTGATTCATATTCAATCGCGCCTTCATGATTGAAATCTTGATTTGTTCTCTTGGAGCTATTATAAGCAAAATTCTACAATAAACCTTTTTTGTGATAGTTACAGCCAGTTTTACCTTTGACCCATATGTTACGACTACTGTTTGGTTCCATCACATCATTTCTAGTAATTGAACGTCACATGTATTGTTTAATATTGGTGTGTTTGGGTACATGTTGTACTATCATACCTCTATCTGAATGTCCTAAGAATTAAAACCAGCTGATTCTGGAAATCTTTCAGGCTGAATAAAGGCCCTCTAAACAAAACAGCATTTATTTAGAGGCACAATGCTAACTTCTTGTATTCTTACTAACCTGAATACTATGCTACATGTGAGGCGGGGTATATGTTTAATTGGGTTGTTATTATTAAAAACACAGTTCTTAAAATGTATTAGATTTGCTTGAAAAACAAAAAAGTTGCTACCTGCTGTCTTTCCCAAATCAGAAAAAAATAAAAATGTCATTATGAATAAAGTATTGTAATGGTGGATAAACTGGATTCCCCATCTTTACTCAATCCTGATTTGTCAAATGGTGAATATAATCGTTTTTTTACAACAAGGAAACGTACATACTATTCCACTTAAATCTTTGATCTATGATATTTTTTCTTTTTAAATTGCAATTTTAAACTATATTCCAGGGTAGTTGGATGTGAGACAACAAACAAAAATTCAATAATAGACAATTCAAAGAAAGTCACTTCATTTATCATTTCACAATCATATTTATGACTTATCGACCAGCAATAAATCATGCTATTTACAGCAAGCCGCACATTGAATTACCCCATATATAAACTCCTGACCACATCCACAAACTATGGTAAACATTGTAAACCATGAAACAGAATGAAACGTACGGAGAAAAACATAGAAATGGTCACTGTTAAGGTCTGTGTTGTGAGACTCAATCTGTCTATTGCTCATGAAGAATCGACTTTAAATAACACATGAAATGCCTTAAAGTTGTCTATATAATCTCACAGTATTTGTAAACACAGGAATTCATCTTTAAAGCTTTGTTACAGACAGCCTATAGGTTATATGGATAAAACATGAAACATACAGGAACCATCTGGAATTACTGCTTCACTAGCCTCTTTTACACCTCAATACGCATTTTTGTAATGGAGATGCACACCATTACAATGCATTAAATGACTCTTTTTTTGTGTTGTATTGCAAAAATGCCCACTAACTATGTGTTCATTTAGGAAGTTGAAGAGCTACAGCTTCCTGCCATATACCCTGATCACATCCTTCTCTCTTCCCGTATTACCACTGCTCCATCGCGGTGTAAGACGTTCTGTGCAGTTCTGTGTGAATAACCAGTCTGACAAGCTGAGGTCACAACGGCGTCTCCCAGTACTGCTGTCCCCTGGTCATATGTCTTTTGATTTGTTCATACGTCACAAACATCACAATATTCCACGACCCCAGTCGCAGGAAAGAAGGCATGAACCTAAAGGACGAAAAAAGGAAAGCAAAGTAAAGAAATGTCCCCATAACAGGCTGTATTATTGTTGTTTGGTTGACTGTTAGGTTAGCGTGTGCTTACCCTTTATAGAAGGCTGAGGGTCCTTCATTTCTCACCATGATGATAGCACAGTTGATGGCGCTCCTGTATTTGCCATCTGTTGAGTTCATGAACCTTGTTTTGACTACATCCACAGGAGAAGCCACTACTGTTGTGCAGAAGCCTGCCCCAAAGGCAGCAGTGAAGTGGCACGGAAGGTTGTCTGTAGGAGGACAGAGGCTGAGTCACATCGTTCCACAACATGTATTACTATGATGTAAAAGACATTAGCTTAACATCTCCAGTGTCTGCAATAACCCACTCACCTGTCATTAGATCGTACTTCAGGATGAGTTCTTTGATCAGGTCATAGGTCACCAGCTCAGCGCAGTTTACAATGGCATTACGGGTGATGTTGGGCATACAACCTAAGAGAAAGGAGAGGATGGTTACTTCAAAACCAGGGGAGGGATTTTTTATAATAAAAAATAGATATTAGGGGTCAATTGATCTGGATAGATATATCGATTCAATGATCAACGATTCAATACCATTATTGCCAAGTAAAAATACCATACATATAATTTAATCATTTTTATTTAAATGTCTGAAAGGGCCTGGTAATAGATCTGATTACATCAATGTAAGTCAATTATAATGTTGACGTTTATCTATCAAGGGCCCCATCAATTTAATCAAATCAAAAATATTTGTGATATCAGTAACTATTTTAAAGTCTTTAAAGACTCAATGTATCAATCAAACTAGTGATATACCCCCAATAGACGAGTGAGTGAAATAAATGAATTTCTTTGGAACTCAAAAACAAGGCTGATTGCCGTGCCTTAGGTTCTTTAGAAAAACTAATTCAAACCGGTTGTCAATCATAATAGCTAAAGTAGATAGAGACCCCCATCATTGTAGTTAGAAAAGTTAGATATTTGAAGTAACATGGCAAGCACCTTTCCAAAGGCCTCGTACTCCCTCGTCTCGGGCTATCGTCCGGTAGGCGTCCAGCGTGCTGTTGTATCTCCTCCCACCGCCAGGTAGTCGTACCTGGGCTTGGAAACGCACCTTCACCACATCTGTTGGCTGTGCAAAAGCCACGGCCATGGCTCCTGTGGTACAGCCCGCCATGAGACGAACAACAATCCCAGCACCTGTGCAGCATGGGTGTGTCAGTCACAATGTAGCACTGAGGAGTGAAACCATCTCGTTTGAATGACACAATAATGTTATGCAACTCACTCTCAGTGCCCCGAGTGTAGAATTGCTTCATGGAGTCGTATAGGCCAATTCGAACAGAGGCAAAGCTCATCTGCCTCTGGAGTCCTGCCACCAGCCCATTGTAAAGACTCCTGGCCCCCTCTGTGCGCACCATGGTGGTGATGGTGCCATACACCCCCCGATATTTCACTGCACCTTCACCTTTAATAGACTCTCCCTGAATCTGGGCAACAGGATGAAACGCAAGGATTGTTAGACGCAGTTAAGATATTTTTAGAACAAAATCTGTAGTTAAAATGTGTCCAGCCTCCTGCTCCTAACCTGAAGTCTGACTTTGGCTGTATCTAATGGAAAGGTGATGAGGTCAGCAATGCAGGCCGCCGTGCCTGCTCCGAAGAACTTAACTGGCCCAGAGGGCACCGCGTCTTTGGGTTTGATGCCAACCATTTCTAGATACGATGACACAAATGGAAAAATATCACACCACACGCACACCAAGGAAAGTCCATCTTAGGACACATCAGGCTTTAACTTATTTTCCATGCTTAACATTGTTCATACCTGTAAGCACAGGTGAAAGAAATGTTCAGGTTTTCTCGAGAAGTACGCAAGTGTTTTGAAGCGGTTCTGCTGTGGAAATGCCTCGGGCCATAAACTCAGTTTGAAGTGTCAGCCAGCATACCACCACTTACTGCAAATACAGGCACGTATCAATCATTTGTCTTGTAAAGGACAATTTGTATTGCCATTACATACAAGTCAGCCATTAATTAATGAGTGATACATATGTTCAGAGGTAAAAAAGTATCAAAAATATTTATTTTTCATTTGGGTTAGTTGTTTATCTAATACTTAAATATCAAGTGACTTCAGTTGAGTCTGAATTTATAAAAAGGTGCATGCTTTAAAAAAAAAAAAAAACACTGTTATCTTTATGTTAAGGTTTACCTAATTAGTTTTCTCGGAAAGTTATAGTCCAGCACAGAGGTAGGAATAAACAATCCTTCAGGCGGTTAGTCCCCTCCGTGTCCTTGTCTCATTCGGTTTGCTTTCTGTTGAAGCTGCTGAATTTATAGACACCTTATGCACATGACTTCTGGGCAGCGTGACAAGTAGTACACACCTGTTATGTATATCTCATGTTTACCAGTCTGTGAAACACAGCCGGATATTTGAGCACTTGTTGATCCAGTCCTGACAGTGTCATTATGGAAGGCTGGCAGGGACTCATGTAATCACTGCATAGGAACGTTGAAAAGATAATTTTACAGTAAAACATTCTGTTACATTAATATATTTAAGTTTTAAACCCAATACTTGAGGTTTAACATTTCACACCTTACCATGTGAGGATGCCCGCTCATGTTACTACACCGACATCAATGAGCTTACCATGTCTTTCTATTGGTTCATATGCGGCCAATAAGAAAGAGAGGCCTGTCTGGATTCCTTAAATGTTTTTATGGGGCATTTAACTATAGCTGACAGGAGCTGTGTGGTGGTTCTCTTAGGAACTACATACTTTTTCTTTTTTTGCATTAGTGCCCCACAAAAAAAAAATGCAGAACTAGAAAAAAAATGTTCATCCCTCCTCCCTGAAAGGAACAAAGTGTTCCAGGAACTGCTTCAGCCAATCCGTACATTGAACAAGGGTGGGTGGATGCACAAACCATCATTTATCCGTTCATGCAAACTACAAGCACAAAAGAGAGGGCTGGAAATTGTATGGAAAGTGTTAGACAGGGTACACACTTCAGTCGAGTCCTGTGTGTGCATTCCTCTACACATGTGACTTTCCACAGCAGCTCCATTTCAGGGTGTCCCGGACAGCAGGCTGACGTCACATCATGAGGTTGACTGTGCAAAACGGTCTCCTCATATCTAAAGTTTCACCTGCTGCTTCATGGGCCAAGATGTTGTTCTATTCCCAGAACTGCACCGCTTGCTCTATGTGTTGTGACAGGACACCATGTGTTCACAGCATAATGCCGCTTTATTCGTTTGTCTGTGTCTGAGTACTTCAGTATTGTACAGATAAAATGATTTTCATATTATATGACATGTTCCTTAACACCTCTGAAGTGGATTTTGTATACAAAACTGAAGTAAAGACCTCTGCAAATTACCTGCACCTTGCATCACATACTCCATTATTTACAGTAATTGTTTTGGCTCCACTAACATGATTCTGAGATGCACATGGTAGTATACCCTATTTATTATTATTACATGTTACTTGTTTGTTACTTTGTTTATCCAAACCGACTTACATACTCAAGACTGTGGGCAATTTGGGGTGAAGTGTCTTGCCCACGGACACAACGATATGCTGACTGCAGTGGGGTTTGAACCTGTGACCCCCTGATCCCAACACCAAGGCTCTGTCCACTGCGCCACACGCCCCGTAGTAGTAGTAGTAGTAGTAGTAGTAGTAGTAGTAGTAGTAGTAGTAGTAGTAGTAGTAGTAGTAGTAGTAGTAGTAGTAGTAGTAGTAGTAGTAGTAGTAGTAGTAGTAGTAGTAGTAGTAGTAGTAGTAGTAGTAGTAGTAGTAGTAGTAGTAGTAGTAAAATTCCTTAATTAGTGAAGTTAAACTTATTCTTATTTAAATATTTTGGTGATATACAAACATGTTTACACTGTATCCTCAACAGAGATGGCAAAAGTACACATATCCTTTACTCAAGTAGAAGTACAGATAATCATGTTTAAAAATACTCTGGAAAAAAAAAGTACTGACTAAACTTCTTTTCTCTGGTCAAAGTAAAGAAGTATGGGCTTCGAAATGTACTGAAGTAAAAAGTGCCCATAACTACCATGTGTTTTGTAGAGCAACTGACCTCCCTTTATATTAATAGAACAATAACGTCATTGTTAGCTAATGAATGTTTCCATGCTGAACAACGGCAACATGACAGCGTTTTCATTGGTCCCTCTTCTTTAGAGAAGACCAGGAAATGATGGAGACATGGATCGCAATGACTGTAAATAATAATGATTAGACACCAAACGCAGATTAAAAGTAAAGTAACAAACCTGTTTTGAAAATGTAAGAATTAAAAGTACAGGTATTTGTGTTAAAAATGTAAGAAGTCAAAGTAAAAAGTCGTCAGAAAAATAAGTAGTGGAGTAAAGTACTGATACCAGAAACATTTACTTAGGTACAGTAACAAAGTATTTGCACTCCCCAACTTCCCAGCTCTGGTCCTCAATGCACAGGTGTTAGGGACAGGAGAGTAAGGAGAGGCTCTGATCCATTTATCAAAAAAAAGTTTCAGCTGCATATAAACAAGGATAAAGGTGTGCCATGGTTACATTTAAAACAAGCACCCTGGTCCAGAAGAGGAAGTGAGGTGCTTCACCAACTGCGTTCCGGCCCTGGTGCTAAAAACAGTTTCCTAAAGAGAACATTGAGTGAATAACCTTTGGGAAGAGAGAGACCAGTAAACAGCTCGCTGGTCCGGCTTCAGCCAGTCTGCTGGGACCTCGTCGGCAGCCCCTGAAAATGAATCTGAGCAGGCGGGCTAACTTCAACGCTCCTTTTCCTACACTTTGAGTCCCATGAACTTTGATCCAGTGCTTTGAAACAGCTAATCTCCATTACACTATAAATAAAGACCATTACTCTATAAATAAAACCATCAGCGTCACTTATAAGGTTAGTGAAGGATACAAATGTTGGCTGTTTGCTTTATTAACAGAACCATGTGAACTTAATTTAAACTCATTATTGAAGGCGAGGCCACTGGACCAGCATGACTGTCTATACATTGAATTGAGCTTTGAATCATCAGGCTTCCAGTCAATTCAATACCTTTCAACCTTGGATGTTTGAATATTCAACTGCAAAAAAATATATTTAGATGTGATTGCAATCTGCATATAAATTAAAGACTATTCCAGACTTTGGATTGACTGTCAAGCTACATCAACACATTAAAGTGTGTTTTACCAAAGTATTTAAGAAATGTGGATTCCTATCCTTAGAAAAGATAGAAACGATGCCATAAGTGCAATGTATCTTAATTATTTATATTATTTTATATTTGGTCTCTTTCTTGACAAATTAATTACACTCAAATACGAGTGCACATGCATGTTCGAAAGAGAGTCCCACTATCACTGTACATATGTACCAGTGTTACTGTACCAGTGTATCGCAACGCCCCTTATTATACAAAAATCGTCAAATTCAAAACAATCCAAAGATAAAAACTTAAAAGTGCCTTCAAACACATATCCATGCCATGTTTTTATAGGCACCGACCATAGAAAACACATGAAGACTAAAAGGGGTCCGTGATGTGTAGGTCACATGTATCACATATGAAGACATTGTTTTTGCAACCTCTTGTCTGCTCATCTGGTACAACTGAAAGAGTTTGTAACAAACACATGGATTCGCGCTGAAAGATACACTTGTTTTTCAAGTTAGCTTTTTATTTTCAAAAGGTAACTTGGTCACACCAGCAATGATTGTTTAAATTAAAGGCTAGAGGCATGAAAAGGGAAGGAGCTTAAATGAAATTCTCAAACACAATCACGACATAATAGCATGAGAAAAAATGGTCACATTTAGATGGGACAAGCCATGTCTTATTTAATAGATTGTGTTTCTTGGATGAACTTTTTTTCTGTTTATAGTTCCTGTAAAAATTTGATTATTTCGTTTGTTTGGAATGGTTTATTTGACTAACATCCAGAGGATGTAACATCAAGGTGTTGAGCATCGCCTTGGTTCTGCATTGTGTTTGTGTTGACTTCCCAAAATTTGAATTTAAAATGGTATGTGACCAGCTTTGTGTGTTCACTTCACCTCTCTGGGTCCTCTCTTGTGCCTCCCAGAATCAAATTAGTCTGCAACTGTAGACGGTGAGCTATCCCAACAAACTCTTTATGTAACTGCTTTAACAGGATTCACAATGTCTCACTTTGAATAACAGTTCATAATACTGCACTTTCAAGTGACCACAACCTAACTTATATTGATATATTGTTAATTGTTAATATCACTGTTATTGAATATTGCTTTAAGAGGTCACTTTTCTGCACTCATATTAGTTGAGTCTACATATTGAAAAAAGGTCTTGAAGGGGTCTTTCACTTAAAAATATCAAGTTGTCAGACTTTAAGAGACAGGATGTTCATACAAAAATTGGTCTAAATCCATGAAGGGGTTGAGATATTCTGAGTTTCGGGCCCTCATATTGGTCTAGATCTCAACCTTATTATGCAACTGTTTTTCATAAGATTCTCCCTGTATTAGAAAGGTGAGGTTACCATGATGACATCACTATGACATTATTTTGTAGACCTGACAAACATTCTCCAAATCCAAAGAAGACATTGAACAACTGTTTTTAAAAATCGATTGACTCAGCTATATGGGTGAATGTACAGTGCTGCCACCTTGTGTTTCAAATGAAAGCTAAAGAACATCCTTAAATGTGAGCCTTGCTCTTTCTTCTTGCTTTCCTGTAGTCACCTCATACTTCATATTTATGTGCATATTTACAGAATTTGTAAAAGAAAATTGACCCCAGCTTGACTCCAGCAGAGTTTGCGCAAGTTTGTTTCTATAACATGTCTTCATTAAGAATAGTGAGAAATATACAAAATAAACATTAAGGTGTGCATTTTGCAAACCTTTGTCTATTGTGACTATAGCTTTACGTATTCATTTAGCATAAGATAATGGCTTCAGGACTGTGGGAGTTTTTTGGTGAGACATATATATTATTCTATTTTTTTTACCCTATTGTACTGTCCTGCAAATTGTACAATACATATCTTTAAAGGCCTGCTTTGTTTTTCGTCATACTCTGAGGCAGAAATATCCACTCCAGCAGCACCAACAGAACCTTACAGTATGTCCATTTAATCTAATATTCAGATTTATGTTCCTTGATATATAATTATTTTTGTAAGATAATGCCTCGTTTTCATACATAAATACATCCTTTATATTACATTACGGTATTTGGTTGACGAACCATAAACATTCTTACATTTCAGAAAACATGCTGTTTTACAGTATCAACGAGGGCCGTCCGTTGTATTGTGATATATCTTTAAGTCAAACATTTTAGTGTGATCTCAAATGAAATATGCAAATTATTTCTACTAATGGATGATTGCGATAGACAGCAGTAATGCTTCAAAGTGCCACACCAAGCTAACAAAATATAATCGTAGAAGAAGAGGCCGACCAAAAAGAATCACAGCAGCAGAAGAAGAAACTAGCGTTAGCTGTAATTTATCCAATGCCTAGCTAGCGTCGGTGCAGGTGTCAGAGATAGTCTTATGCTGCGAAAGAGAGCGCAGGTCGTTTTAACCAGATCGTGACAGAGACCGACAACATGGAGAGACAGCTGCATTTAAATCTTTTAACCTCCAGACCTCCCATGGCTGGAGGGTTGCAGTCCAGCTCCAAAATGAAAATGGGGTAAGCTACCTTAGCATCATAATAGCATTCGGTCAACTCTGCTACTACTTACACGTTTATATTTTCTATCATCACAGAAAGTGCTTTCTGTTACACTGGACTGGTATATTTTAGAGTTAGTTCAAATATAGCTGAACTACGCTTTAGCTAGTAAGGCTAGCTAGCTGTTGCTACCAGAGTTTATACCAAACAGTCGCAGATAAAACGCGATTCACACCATATCTTAAAATACAGGATAATTACATATATTCATATTTACGTTTGATCTAGCGTTAGCCATTGATCTTAAATAACATTAGCTTAGATATGTCAGGGTATGAGTGAGCATTGATGACACACTAAAAGCAGTGTCTGAATATATGAATCCTTATGTCAACAAGAGTAGTCTCCACAAACAGAGACTTTAAGAAGATCCTGTGTAACTTAAGTTCAGGGCTCGTTTCTGGCTTGTTATTACTTGTCCACATAACGTGTTTTTAACATGTTACAAATATATTATATACCTTTTTTTAAAGTGATGATCATTTGTGTTTTGAATATACAGCAGCCAGAGCATTAGCACAGTAGCATGTGTTGTGTTCTTGCTGAACAATGTGTTTTTAATAAATGTAGTGCTTGCATTACAATTGGATATTCCTGTATCGTCATAATCTCATTTATATGCACTATTTTTCTCTTAATGAAAACATGTGTGTCAAAGCTGTATGTCTTGCACTATGGGTTTTGATAATTCAGCTGAAATATGGGATTGGTTTACATTTTGCTTCTCCTTTTTCTAAACAGACCCGGGCGGAAAAGGGATTTCACCCCCCTGTCCTGGAGTCAGTACTTTGAAACTATTGAAGACGTTGAGGTGGAAAATGAAAATGGCAAAGACATATCCTTGACTGCTGCTTGTGTTTGTTCGAGACGATTAAGCATGAATTATTGAAGCTTTGGTGTGGCAGTCACCCAGAGCATTAGCATCCAACTAGGTCATTTCAGATTCAGTACTTGCACTATCTAACTCATTATTGAAGATAAGCCATTTATAATATCAATGTTCTTATAAAGCAGTTTCTCTTCGCGTTTTAACTCTTGCACAGCTCTGTTATGCATTACCTTGACTACCTGGAACATTTTCAGAGCTTACTGCAGCGGCGCCCATGGTCCCGTGCTGCTCCTGCTCCATGGAGGAGGACACTCTGCTCTCTCCTGGGCCGTGTTCACTGTGAGCATTATAACTTCACTACTAAATTCTCTGATTAACCACATGTTTGAAATACACACCTATATTGTGGAATGTTTATGGGACTTTTCTTCTTTTCTTTTTTTAACAGGCTGTAATATGCAGCAGGATCAACTGCAGGGTGGTGGCTATGGACCTTCGAGCTCATGGTAAATAAATGTAGTCTCAGGAAAAATCATTTAAACCAATTGTCGTCTTTGATTCAAACTTGAAGACACATACTGTATCGACGTCCTATGAGTCTGTGTTGCTCACTGGTTAAAATACGGCAGTTTAGTCGAAATCGGGAAATACACCATGGCTGTTTATTTATAATGTTATGTTGGACAGATTGTCTTTCGAGTGTATGTGACAATTCATGAACATACAGTATGTACATATTCTCAGAATATTTAAGTTGAACTTAAGCCTCTCTTTCAACCTATGCTTTGAGCAGCATAGGTTGAGTGGTTATATGTATACATGTTCATTATCTGTCACACATAATCTATATAAAATGTTACACATAAGGACAAAAAACGTTGAATCGTAGTCTTTGAAAGGTTATATTTACTCTTTAAACTATTTGTTGGAGACCTCTCCAAATAAAGTGTTAAAAATAAGTTACATTTCTTATCCTAAGCTATTTCCACCCATCCTTGCCCTCTGTGATTTGACACTGAATCTCTCTCTATATCAAACTGCTACATATTGCTAAGGTGGAACATATAGTGACATTTGCTTCTCTCTCATCACCTGCAGGCGACACCAAAGTGAAAAATCCTGATGATCTCTCTGCGGACACGATGGCCAAGTAAGTTGCTGTACAGTATGCGCAGTTATGACACACACACACACACACACGGTCCACTTTGAGCTCTACAGCCACAGAAAAAGATTGGAGAGTTTGGTGGGTTCTTGTTGTTTTTTAGGCTTTGATTGATAAAAGTAGTTCACATATTTATTTTCTTTTTCTTCAAAAGGGATATTGGCAAAGTGGTGGAGGTACTCTATGGAGATAACCCTCCTCCAATCATGATCATTGGGCACAGCATGGGCGGGGCCATTGCAGTTCACACAGCCGCTGCCAATCACATACCATCCCTGCTCGGCCTCTGTGTCATTGATGTTGTGGAAGGTTAGTGCTTTCTGGAATATCATAGAAAGCTGTTTGTTAATTATGACTTAGTTGACCTAATTGATATTATTTTTGAGCACGCTGAAAATGTTTTTGATAAATGTTCATATTGAAATTAAATGAGCACGGTATAGTATTCCAGGATGTATTAATGACAAGTGAACGTTTTTAATTGCATTCAGGTACAGCAATGGATGCTTTGAACAGTATGCAGAACTTCCTCCGAAGTCGGCCAAAGACATTTAAATCTCTGGAAAATGCCATTGAGTGGAGGTATGATTGAACAAAAAATGTACTCTATCGCTATGTGGTTATTTTTCCCAAACTAAATTATAAAGTAAACATCATTTATTAAACCATATGATTCTAAATTAACAATACTCTCTTTTTTTATTGCATGTGTATTTGCTGCACATAAAGTGAGGCACACACTGACAAGTTATATTTATAAAAGAAAGTAGATGTCATAAAACACTTATTTATTTGATCAGATTAATTATTATATTTAAATTGAGACTTTTGAAGGTTCATACCAAAACCTCCATTAAAAGTTTAGAGTTAAGTTTAGAGTTTAAAGAAATGACGGCGTCTGAAACTTTTCCTTTGCTTTGTTTTCAGTGTGAAAAGTGGCCAGATCCGAAACGTCGAGTCAGCACGAGTGTCAATGGGAGGCCAGGTGAAAAAGTATGTTTTAGTTTTAATATTTCATCTGGCATGGTTTTGCAAATGTATGTACTGAATATTCATCAGGTCTGATCGGACATTCACAGATGTGAGGAACCCCCCGGCAGTCCTGCTGTGTCTAATAGCATTGATGGTATTATAGAAGAGGAAGAGGATGAAGAGGAGGAAGAATCCAACAAGAAAAGGATGAAGGAGGATGACCAAGAGGTTCAGTCTCTCTAAATATTTGTCTTTATTTTGTAACTTACATATATGCTTTTTGAGTGAGAGATTTTATTTTTCATAACAGGTCAAAAAGGAAAGCATTTTCACCTGGCGAGTGGAGCTGTCGAAGACGGAAAAATACTGGGAAGGCTGGTTCAGAGGCCTGTCTGCCCTCTTCCTCACGTGTCCTGTGCCAAAATTGCTTCTGCTCGCAGGTTAGATATCTCCAAGCAAATGTACATACAAATGTGGTTCATGAGGGTCTGGTTAAGCAGTTTTGATGGAATTCAGTGCAGTCCCCCTAGTTTGGATAAATACAAATTAATTGTATTCCAAGCTATTTTGCTATTTGCTGCACAATTTCACCCCTGACTTAATCCATTGTACAGGAGTGGACAGGCTTGACAAAGACCTTACTATTGGACAGATGCAAGGTAAGCACCACAAAGTCAGATGTACTGCATATTTTCCATTTTATTTATGAATAATTATTTTCCTAAATGTAAAAAAACGCAGTTCTCAGACACGTCCACTTTATGTCCACAGGGAAGTTTCAGATGCAGGTCCTCCCTCAGTGTGGTCACGCTGTCCATGAGGACGCGCCTGAAAAAGTAAGGTTTAACATTTCCATCAACTTTCTCCCAATTACTGTGATGTATGATCCTTGATGTTAGCATTGGCATGATCTGCCAATGCTAACTCTGAGATATTGCTGTTTGTAGTGTCACATCTTGGTTCAGTTAATACGTCAGATTATGTTTTTGGGAGGATTTTCTGATTATGCTTAGATGTGACTGTTCCAGAATCAGTTCATGCTCTTTTTATTGTCTTAATCTTCTCTCATCATTTGCTAGGTAGCAGATGCTCTAGCAACATTTATGGTCAGGCACAAATTCACTGAGTTTAAGGAAGCTTACCTGTGGTAAGTGAACTTCTAAGAATGTCAATGTTTAAGGAAATCCACATAGTACGTTTTTATGTAATAACTTTGTAATATTCTTTCAACAGCTAATTTCCAGTTTTCGTCTATATATAGCCAGCAGCCATAGAAGAAATGTTTCAAGATACATCGACATCCCCGTACAATTTAACAGCAAATTAAGGAAAATATACAAGCATTATTATTATTATTATTATTATTATTATTGCTTTTTGTCATGTAGATACTTTGCCTTCAGCTTCGCCTTATTTTTTATTTTAAAACACTGGGATTTGATTGTACCACTCCTTTACAATTTATTTTTTTAAGTAATGCTCTCCTTGTTAAATAATTACATTTTGAGTGCTTGCATCATTCTGACATGTTTTCCAAAAGTGAGTGTAATGTTTGAAATCAAACGATGATTAAAGATGGATGCAGCACATATGTCACCCATGCTTGTATATTCTGTGTGAATTAAAAGTAAAAAAAAAATCATGATCATTTTAAATGCTGTAGTTTATTTTACATGACGTGTAACAAGATAAATGTGATTGGTGTTTAGAATAAGTGACACATGCATGGAGAAATCCAGCTGTGAGTATTTATTATAGTTTTCTATCATCTCATTTCACTCTAATTTGTTCTGAAATTCACATTTGCAGCTCTTAAAAATTATATCAGGCATTGTAACCCCTACTCACACTGAACATTTAATGTGAGGGTAGCTTTTGTTCCCACGGTTAAAGCCCACTTTACAGTGAGTGCTGTTAAGAATCAGCATGTGTTTACTGAAGTTGAACCCATTGAAAGAAAAATGGCCTGACAGATACTAGATTTCTTTATGCAAAGATTTACTGGGCCTCAGGTATTTTTCTCAACCGCACTTTTTAGTGTAGCTGTTTGTTTTATATCAAATCTATTCAGAAATGTTGATGTCCGTCCCACATTTGAATTCCTGTTCATTGAACAGTTTACACATGACTAGACGGGAACATCAATCCTATTCGGCTTCAGTGACTCAGGCCTGGAGGTTGAACAATTTGCCAGATCGACAAAAAGCTCTCATGCCACAAGATCACTGACGTTATGAATGAAAACTTTTCTGAAACAAAATATTTGTATAGATGATGATTGAAATTGTATTAGTAATTTTGCCTTTTTAAATAAAATACAATTGTGCAGAAAACTCAGATGTTGGTCAACTGGTTGAGAACATTTCCTTTATGTTAATTCCTCATTAAAAAAACAATGCTGAAACGATATTTAAATGTCCCATGACATGCTTTTCTGGTTATTACCTGTCCCCTTGTGTGTTATGTAGCTTTTTATGCATGTAAACGGTCTGCAGAGTCAAAACCCCTCAAACTACACCCTGTAGTGAGTAAACTCTAACACAGAAAGACCTGTGTATGCTGCCCCAAAACGCCTCGTTGGAGATTTTTCTTTTTCCATTTTTTTCTTCCGGGAACCAAGTGACGTAACGACGACCCCATGGACCAATTGGTCCAAATGGACCAATCCGCGGAGCCGTTACGTCCGCGGAGCTGTTAAGTTAAGTTCGCGGATTGGTCCATTTGGACCAATCCGCGGACTTCCTCACACACACACACACACTCAATCTTTTCTCAGTTGCAGCTCCGGATTTCTCAGCCTGAGGTGGCGAGGCTGTGGCCGTTTCTCAATCTCGAGGATTCTGGCTTCCAAGCCAATATTTCAAGGATACTACGTCATTGAGTGCCGCTGAAGGACTGTTCCAATCTCCAGCATACTTGGAATTCTACCAAGGCCGCGTCCTTGGTCTGGGGGAAATTTCGAGGCTGCACATGGGTAGACTTCGCGTCCTTAAAATCCCCACAATGCTTGCGCACGGATCAATTTCAAAAACCCTTGCGGAGAATTGCTGAACCGACGCAGCACACATTTAAATGTAAGTATGTAGTGGCGTAGAACATGTGTTGGTAATGTGACTTTGTTACATTTGTTTGTTATCACCAAAAATGTGTTCCGTGAAAGTAAAGCAAGTTCATAATTAGATAGACATCGTGAGGTATTTATTTTCGGTACAGTTTATGTTGAAACCGTTAGAGAGAGTGGCACACTTGTTAGCCTGTTCCATTCTTCTTTGTTTTCCGAAGCCGTGACTTGGAAGTATGCGACTACCAAGCCAGTATCCTCGCGATTGAGAAACGGCCACAGACTCACAGCCAGGCTGCGGGTGTGTGTGTGTGCTCGGACTGGGTTTCGCTGTGTCTCGCTGTCTCGCCGACCCGGAAACCACACCAGTAAGCCTGCTCACACCGTCCGCTCTTCGCAGCAGCGAGCCTCGCAACGTCCCGCCAACACGGCACCCAGACCCCACGCAGCATTCTCATCTGTTTGTCATTAGTCGTGTAATTTTCTGGTTGATAACGCCATTGTAACACATAATCACTGATGTTCCGCTGTAATGGTGTTGGACTCATCAGAACAGAGTGGGCTCACAGGGAGGGGGGGGCAGGAGCTCCAACAAGCCGTTTAGGACAGTGCGTGAATACACATACTATACAGAGATGCTGTATGAGAAACCAATGTGGGTTTGGAAAATTGCACAATGTAAATCTATTCTAGTAGACCTCAACAATGGAATTATGATCAGTAGAAATGGTCATGTCATGTGACCTTTAAAAAAAAAAAACGTGTCCTCTTTTAAAAAAGTGGANCCCATACATTGTAAAATAAAGTCTTTTGTGAAAAACATATAAGGTACATTTCTTACGAGAATGCAGGGCTATCGTTACTTATATAAATTTCGAAACTGTATTTATGTATGGTTTTTAATTAGAGACCTTCGGCATCGCGTACATTTCTTCCGTGCTGGTTCAGTAAATGCGGCCGGGGCCGATTTTATGACTCCGGGATGGACGGACAGTCGGAAGGTAGACACGTGTTTGAATAGAGCACCCGAGTAACTACTACACGCAAGCACACACAACCTCCTCCCTGAAGACTTCTTTCAGCTTCCTTCTCCGTATAAAAGGCCAAACACATGAACGTTAAGATCACGTGGAGTTTGCCAAAAGGTAACGAAACCGGATGGGATGGAAATTTGAGAAATCCCACGTCGATATACAAAATAAATAAAGTTCACCCGGGTAAAATTATTATAATAAAGGGAAGTTTACACATCTACCTGAAGGGCGGTTCACGACACAAAATTAAATAAAAATTTTCATCGACACATAATAAATGTGACTGAAGATCGTCAGCTGTCTTCCTCTCCCTTGTTGTTCCTCGATACGTAAAGGCTGCAGCACCGTTGACAACTTCTCTCTACATATCAAACATACCGGTAAACCAGCATCGTTTGCTGTGAAAGCATATAACTGTCCACACAGAATTAAATCCTGTGTTCCTCCGGTACTTTTCTTTGATTTATCCATAGTTCGCTCATCGAGCCGGGGGTCAGGTTATTCGCCTCCAAGAAAAGGCGCTCGCGCGGGACCGTAGCAGGATGTGACGCATATTTTAGTTGACCTAATTAAAACCGTTTTGTTTTTTATTTATGTGTCACAGTATCACCTCAAAATACAAGATACGAAACATTTTCAAACATGCAAGAAAATATAAATAATTTTTTTTATTTCCTTCTTATTTTTGTCTAAGCTCAAGGGAGCCAGAGCAGGGGGCTTAAAGGGTCGCATGCGGCCCTTGGGCCGCGGGTTGCCAACCCCTGATCTAGAAGAAGACATGCTTTTAATTCTAAGATAATAAGGTAGTGGTGCACTTTTTCCTCCTGTGGCCAAAACGAGTATTACAACAACACAACATTGTGAACTTTGAAAAGCGTTCATCCTGACCTATTTCACAGATGATTTATTTAGGGAGCTTAGTAAAATGATCCTGGCAAAAGCTTTATTTGTTCCTGTTCTTCAAGTCATTTATTCAGTAGATGAATCATCTAAGATTAGACGATTAAAATGGATCACCAGATTTTTCTTCCCTCCTTTGCCTCTCAGTGCTTCCGTATTACACTTTGGTACTGAACTGATTTCTCTTTTGTCTTTGTTTAACAGCCGTGATCGTTGTTTTCTCCGTTCCTCTGTTGTACAAAAAGAACAAGGTACGTTCCTTTTTTCTTTTTTTTTTATATATATAAATCAATATCATTCACTAAACTACTCCAGCAAAACATAATAATGGCGATAAACTAGTAACACAATTTATACATGTAAATTGTGTAGAGTTTTCCTGAATACCTTTATTGACTTCTCATGTGATGGACATCTGCAAACTAAATACATACCCAGGAAGCAATAGGCTGAATATTCGGGTCCAGGGTGAAAAAGACTCCTCTGATACCACATAAACAAAAGTTAAAGAAAAACTTTAAACTCTTACCTGTGTATCATTTTTTGACAGATGCGTTTAAGGAGGATGGTTCGAGCGGTCAAAGCTTTTGTAAAGAAAATCAAAGACCTGTAAGTTACCTTCTATTTGCAAAATGTTCTCATGGTAACAAATGATGACAATCTTTATGTTGATGCTGCTGTTTTGTTGCAGTTTCCTCAGTCTGTATCATAAGGTGAGACCCTCTTCTGCTCCTGAACCTGCCACAAAACATGCACCTGCCCCTGCAGCTGCACCGGCTCCCAAACAGAAAGCCAAGGCAAAGTAACTGGTTGGTCAAGTGTTAGAAAGCACCCACGATTTGGGATTCGGAAAATGTTGGAATGGTTACATCATCTGTGGGGCCACTTTGAGAGCCGGCTCATGTCCATTTCTCAACCGCGATGTTCATTAATAGGAGCAAGATATAATTGATCCTGACAGCTGAAACAAAGCTGCCCTTCACTCACAAAGAAAGAGTGGAAGTGTATGAGGGGAAGAATTTAATTTACTGAGATGCTGTTTGTAGGCAATGTTTAATATAACCAGTTCACACTCACATACTCTAAGCAGGGGCAGAATACCACCGTGTGTTTTTTCTTTGATAACAGGTCTATTTTTACAGGGAGCTCCATGTTCCTGTTGAACTGCAGAATTATTCATAATGAACCAACGAAGCATTACTGCTGCTCTCATTATGTCTATGCAGCACCATAAATTGTAAACTCGGTAGAATAAATCTGACATGCTGCTATTAATTAACATTAATGTTTTTTTTGCTTGCTAAGTTAGATATCTTTTAAAAAGCTTTTTAAAAAGCAACACCTTGCAACTTTTATGAGAGTTTAATGAGAAATAATGAGGACATATGTCATATGCTGTTCATGCTAATTGCATTTAATCAGGTAAAAACTGACCTGCTGCTGCTCCTGGGGCAGATTAGTTATTAAAGATATAAAGTGCAGGAAAAAAAAAAAGTGAGAGCAATTTAAACTCAGCAGTAAATTAAAATTGGACTGATTTAAGCACATAACAGAAGCATTTTTAATTAATTTGCAGATAGGACAACTTTATTTCTGCTCTCATATTTCACCTCCTGGTTAAAACACTAACAGGCCAACAGATGTTTTGTGTCGGCCTGTGGATAGATATTCACTACTATTTCAGCTGGGTTCTGCTTTCTACCACGTCCTTATTGACAAACACAAAATGTCAGTAAACAACACCATTAACATTTTAAAAGCTGCATCAATTAACTTGTGAATGCTAACTTTTTGGTGCTTCCAGCTGACACAAAACAATGCAACATTAATTTGGAGTATGGTTTCTTGCCACGAAAAATAACATTCATTTTAATATTTTAGCTATGTTTTGTTCCCAATCGAAACAATGAACTTGTGGTCAGTAAGCCAAAACAATATGCTGAAAGATAGTAAAATGCTCTGAAGGGCTACTTTAATACTTCTATGGCTTTGTTACTGGAAGCAACTTTTAATGTTAACATATTGATTGTAGCTGCTTTAAGCTTTTTACTTTTTCAAATACTCCTGAAGAAATTGTACATCACCTTGATTAGTGTTAAGTTGCCTACATGAGTCTTAAGTTGTAGATAACTATAAATAGCTATGACCAGATACCCTGTTTCAGTTGCATAATAGTGTAAACCAGTCGCACTATAACCTGCCTTAAGAGGACATTTAATTAGATAAAACTACAACAACAACAACAATTTTAAAAGAAGAAACCTTAAAGAGAGAAAGCGATTTTCACATTGTCATTGCATAAGTCATTCAACCAGTGGTGCTGCAGGACACGTTGAAAGCTGCTACACAAGCTAACAATATATATATTGTTAAATTGTGTAGCAGTTAGTCAACATATATTTATGATGGAGATTTGCCTTTAATGTATACTAGTGGCTCTTCAGTGAGCGCTGCATTGTAGGCCTATGTGAACAGTTAAACATGTCTGGACTTTTCCTCCATAGCCTACTCTTATTGATAAATGTTCCCTCATTGTGACATTGTGACATTGTCATCGAAACTGTGAGACATGTGAGAAAGAGTATAATTTTAATTCGGGGTGCACTATTCCTTTATTTATCCCTCACTCTGACCAGTGTACGGTTTTAGCTTCCAAACCTGAGCCTGTAGAGTAGACCGTACGCTGTTAGCTACTGTTAGCATGTCAGATTAATGTTGGTGACTAGTGCCCTCTAGTGGAGTTTCAGATCTTAAATCGCAGCTGCAGTCATACTAACATGTCTTAATTAACTGATGTTATTTAATATCATTAAAAAATATTAACCCCAGCCAAAAAATAGGTATTTATTTATTTAGTATTTATTGAAAAAAAAAAAGGTCAATATTTTCTATAAAAATGTAATTTTCAAAAGCTGTGAGCAGTGTTAGCTGTAACTGAGTTGCAGGAGGGCTTAACCCGAACTGCGTTTTTTCTTTTAATGTTGCCACTTCTATCTCTTGTTGTAGAATGACTTATTTCTATTGGTATTTCATATTTTGTATTGTAATTTCCGATTGTTATGTTGCTCCCCAATAAAAAGTTGTTTAGTAAAAATGCAAGGTGCTTGGTTAATCTTTAATTCCTTTGTCAACTGTTACTGTTGTTACATGTATTTAATATGACGAAGTGTTGTGAAAAAAAAAAAAACGAACGGCACAATACTGCTTTTGATACTTTAAGTATGTTTAGCTGATAATACTTACATATTTTTACTTTAGTATAGCTTTAAAAGCAGGGCTTTTGTTGTGAAGTATTTCTGAGACGTGGTATAAGTACTTTAACGTAATACTTCTTTGAACACTGCTTTAGAATTATTATTTTTTAATATTCAATTATGATGAACAGTTTTGTTTAAATCCACGCTACAGAGAAAGTATTGTGATTTTTTATTTTATACTTGACATTACTGCCTGTGCTTTAGTCTGAGAAACATACAAAATCAATTAGGCTTGTCTACGTGAGTTACTTACCCTATAATCTAAATGCATAACCAAATGTTAATCAAATACAGTAAGAAGCTCTCATGGACAGAGAGCAGCCAAAGGTCATATTTACTTCATATGGTCAGGGAGTGTAGTACTCACCATCAGGGGCTGCACCACCATGTTTGGCCAGTAGGTGTTGCTCTTGGAGAGTGTCAGCTACCCTCTTGACGAGAGCAAGGAGAAACCCACTGATCACTGACTGTCACTGATGCCCAGATATAAATGGATCCTGACAAACATGTATACCATCACTGCAATGTGGGCTCCATACAAACATTATCTACACAACATGTTTCCTGGTATTAGAAACAGCTCTTTTCTTTCTCTATCGTGAGAATCACAATGTGACTGTGACCTTGAGATACATTTACCTCAAAAATCCTCCACACGTCATTTAAAAATCTTCAAGGACTTTTTCCTTTGTTTCTACATTAAGTGACTCAGAGCATCCACCCCTCACTGTTTCAGAAGTCTTTTGCATCAACGTCTTGAAGTGCAGTCTGATTATACAAAGTAAGAACAGATCATGTCACTGACTGGTGCAAATGTTATGCATTTATTTGTTAATTGTAATACTTAAATCAAACAAGAAAGCGGCTCATGATGATATTGTAAAAAATAAAGAAATGTAAAAAACTACAGCATACTAAACTTAGAGGGAACACCCCTAAAATATCATTATGGCACTTCAATCATTCAGGTAAAAGTCAAACATATTAAACAGTATATGAAGTATGTCGTCAGCTCCTCGTCACAAAAATAATAGTTTACATATTTTCTACAGTATGTATATATAAAAAGGACTGACGTCAGAAACGTCTCATACTGTTTCCCTGATTAGTAAGAGGTTATGACTCTACATAATAACATTGACACAGAGGCTACATTTACTCATTTACAAATCTACTGTACAGTTGCCAAAAAGCATTGAGTCATAACATTACAGCAGCACATCACAGAGCTGGGACAGAAATACCTAATTTAATCCCTTCATGGTCTGTGTTGCAGTTAGTACATTTGGTCTCAGTGGACCTAAGCTGTTTGGATCTTGTGGGGTTCGGTCTAGTGACATGCCTGAGAGTAGAGTCTCAGATGTATGCACTGTGGTAGCCTCTCTGATAAAAATAAAAAACAGTATTCAAATTTTGTTGGATAACTAAAAATCAGCTGTTTTCTTTCTACACTTGTACAGTATTAGAGCACAAGCTGATTGAGGGGCAAATACTCTGAGTTTTTGCTGTGATTTCTAAAGCATAACTTGTTTCCTCAATGATATCGAACACTAAATAGTCCTAAGCAAATCTGAAATAAGAACAAATAATTCAATAAGTAGTTCAACATTTAAGAAGTGCACTTACTCACTTTGAATAGATCGATACCACTCCTGCGTCTGTAATGTACTGTACATATGAAGCTTAAGCTAGAAAGGGGTTAGCTTAGCATAGCAGAATGACTAGAAGCAGTTGGAAACAACTCGTGTGTCTCTGTCTGAAGGTGAAAAACAAAATACTCATACCAAACCTCTAAAATCACCACATTAAATCTTGTTTGCTAAAAAGGTCACATATCTATATTTGTAGGTTCATTCTGTTTTTTTGAGTGTCTACCGTAACATATTTAAATGATCAAATGTTAAGAAAATCATAATTTTCCTCTGCATTGTCTGTCTGAATATACCTGTATCCACCCTGTTTCTAAAACGCTCTGTTCAAGTGCCTGTCTCTTTAGGTGCCCCACTCGAAAAACCCAAGAGTGCTCTGATTGGCTTGTGAGAAAAATGTGGTGCACCTTTTCAAAGGTAGTTGTCACACCATTGGTTGAAACACTCAAATGGGGAGTGGTGTATTCTAATGAAAATATTATGATATTGGAAGCCAATAAAATACTGATACTAGTGTAGTGGGTTCTCCACATACCAAATTAATGTGGAGAAGCACTGAAAAGGTGAGTCCCTTTTGATCTCCGTTAAAGGTAGACAGATTTTTTTTTTATCACCGGAGAGTGCCAGGTAATTTTAAATCATAAAATAAGCAAAGATAACTGTCACCTGGCTATAGCTTGCACAAGAAAAGCTAATAAACTAATTTCCCAAATCGTTGAACCATCCTTTAGGACAAATAACATTTAACGATGTGAAATAAAAGGTAATGAAAGTGTGTGTGAGGCAGCCAGCTGTTTCCTCCTCTGGATTGACGGCTCAGTGATTCAGGGTGAAGCCTGGACTCTCTGTATGACAGTCACACATAGTTTTCTCGGTGGTTGATGTAGACCCGGTCTGTCCCACTCTGATGACACACCCACTGCAGGCGGGACAGCCGCTGGGTGGGGCTTTGAGCTGCCGGTGGTCCCGGCCTTGTTGCGGGTGGAGAGGGCTGCCTGTCACTCAGCTCGTGCCTGCGCTCTGCCCTGCGACTCTGCTGGTTAAAAAAATAATCAAACATAGCGTGACTGCTCTTTCTTGAGACAAAATAGTTTTATATACTCTTGCGATTGTCCTGAAAGAAACAGGAAAAGTTGTGGGTGAGACTAAAATAAGTGCATGCTTATGATAACTGGAGGTGAGCTCAGCACACAAATTAAAAATTAAACCATGCTGCATATTAAATGAGTACAGCCATTAGGCCTTCTGCTTGATAAACAGATAATGGAATGGCTCAGGTTGTTATTACTTCCTGTTGTGACTCAGCAGTCATCTCACCAAGAGTTCATATTGGTGGTGTAATGATAAGTATGTGATGATTCAGATGCACCAACGTGATGATAAAGCCCTTATGAAGGGGAGCGGGGCTTTACCTGACAGAGCCAGGCCACTTGTGATGCGTGGACCCCCAGGGGGATGGCAGGCGCTCTCTCAGAGTAGGGAGGGGGCGGCTTGTGTGTCGGAGGAAGGTCAATCCTTTAAAGCGGAGAAAAATAAATTGCAATAAGGAGACATTTAATTTTTTGAGAACAGACAGAAACCTAAAAGAACAAGGAGAAACATTGAAAGAACATTATTAGTTTGTGCTGGGTGAAAATTATATTTCTGAAAAAAAAAGAACACCTTGTTACTCAAATGCTGCTTTCTAACTTCTGAGAATAACCATCCTGATGATGTTATCGGCATCTCGGGTTGGGATTTGAAGTTACAAATACATAACAGAAAGCTTATTTATTAAACTCGAGGAAGGGTCTTTAAAGCCTGACCCGCTCTAAAAAAACAAGTCAGTGTATTTCAGCGTCTGCTTCTTCCTTTGGACCATTATTTTGAAAATAAGTATTTTCCAAGTTCACTTTATTTATGGAAGTATAATGCTAAAACATTGAAGTGCTCCTTTAAGATATGGTATTCAGTGATACTAATGGTAGAATACAAACATTAATTATGAACTATTACATTTTATGTAACCTTTATGTAACCAGGAGTACTCTGACTGATATTCAGAATAAAATATTTTAAAAAACAGCACAAAAAAGGGAAAAACAGCAAGAAAAATCAAATAAAGAAACATGGCTATGAGGATTATGGACTTCCACTATTAAATTGGAAGACTTCTGACATCTGCACTGAAATCCCTCACGGTTCGTGTTCCTTAATTAAGACGCTTAAATAAGACTCGTTTTCTCATTTAGAGAAATCCCCCTCCACTACTAAAATATGACCTAGAAAGTGACCTTGGCCATTCATAACATGATGTCATGACAGGCATTGATTCTCTCACACTGTATATCACTTGATGCAGCCCTTCCCTTTCATGCCTGGGATAGTAGAGAGTCCAGATCAGTGACATCCTGTCCTGCACTCACGTCTGTGTGTGATGAAGGAGGGGGACGAGGCCTGTACACCCCCCCCCCCTCGGGCATCCCACTGGGACTTCCAACCACGGTCACACTTAAGATGCTAAGTTTGTCGTGTCATTGACCACAGGCCAACACGCCATCCTGTAGTGTCAGTGTGCTGCCCGTGCACAACGTATTTCCCCCTCAGATCAGGGTGTTTTCTGCCAGTCAGCAGAGTGTGAAGGTGGCCTATTATCACTGACACATAATCAGTCAGGTTGAAACTCAGTCAGAGGTATGCGCTGTCAATTAAATTAGGTCGCAAAAGAACAATATGCATGGAGTATTGAAAAAAAAAATACTTTCTTGGTACTTTATTAAAAAAGAAAATATAAGATTACAGGAGGAGAATACAACAGTTAATCCAAAATCCTTTTAGATAAAACAATAATAATCCATGTGTGAACATTTTTCCCTCTTTGTACTTCCCCGTTACAAGATACAACTATTATCCAATCAGTCTCACTCACTTCTGCATTCATCATCATCGGCTTATTTGCAGTTGACTTGAAATCTGTAGTTTGGGAGCATTTAGCTCCCTGAATTAAATGCTACAGATATAACCTGTGTAGTAATTATTCAGCCTTCTTCCTTGAGACTTGCTCGATGTGTGTGACTGTGTTTCCCCTTAGTGAGCCTACTCAATGACACACTAACAGGGATGGATGAGGGGATCAACCTGCGACCTTGCAGATATGGTCCATAGGTTTATAAGAGTGATTTGCATGTAACAGGAAGGAGGCTTATCA